TTTTTGTAAAAAAAAAAAAAAAATGTTTTCATGCTTCTTTGAAAATATTTAATACATTTCTTAAATCCATGTGATATTTTGTATTATTAAATTGTTCAAAATAATTTATAAATATATTTTAAATTGAAAGTCTTTTACCGGTACTAATTTTAATGACAAACTTCTTTACTTAAATCTTAATATTTAATTTTGTATATAATAAATAAATGTTTTCCAAGTTATTTTATTAGGTTCGTTTAATTTACTAATTCAGTGTTCAATAGTGTTGGCGTTTCTATTTTTACTAGAACTATAAAAATTTACAATGATATAATATAAGACACAAGTTTTAATATTAGAATAGCAAGGTACATTCTATTTTACTCCAATTATTAAAATTACATATCAATTAATTAATTGTATTTGCTTTATGTATCAAATTAATTATGATAAAAATTATTTAGTTTGTAGTCTAACATTTAAGTAATTAACTAGGTAACAATTTGTATAATTAATTAATATCATAATTAATGTTTAGCAAAAATGATAGTTCTATTCTAATGTTATTATAAGAATTTAATATTTTACTAGATTATTAATTCATATTTGATGTGTATTCCTTAAGTTCTTTAGCAGAAAATTATTAAATCCTATTCAAATTAATAAGATAGTAACAGTTTATTTTTATAGTAGAAAAAAATTATTATGAGACATAATATTATATATTTATTCAATACCACGCCTGTAATTATTATATTCAAAAGTATAGGTACATTCCAAAAGTCCTGTATCAACCCAATTATGTATGCGAGGCCGTGAAATAAATTAGAAAAACTATTTATATCCGGTAATTACAACAGAAATGTGTAAAAAAATCTCAATTTAACGGTTTGCATATTATTTTTATTTTTATTTACTTATTTAAACCTATATTTAGATAAATAAATTTTTACAGAAATAATATTAGGTATTAGGGCTATACTATGGAACTGTAGAAAACACTGATTACAGTCGCATTTTAACATCATACTTTATAACTATGTATACATTGTACAGTTTGTACACACATTTACAGTGTATCGTACACGCGTCGACACTCGATACTGAATTATTCGCGTCCATTAGGTAATTGCGCGCGTCGGTCGGAAGGAAGACCTTTACGCGAAATTACACGAAAATCAACCAGAGTATACTACGCTTATTTATACCTATGCTATAAGTTCGTATAATTGCTGATCGACTGATTTCCGCTCACCCCGGTAATGACGTCGTTTGAGCGGATATAAAAACGCATTTCAAACACACGTGCTTTTTTTTTTTTTTTGTCCTCCACCTAAAGGTCGCATCCAATTGGCTGGTTCGATAAAGCGCTTCATCCTCTAACCTATTAAGTATATTATTATTATTATTGTCATCATCATTATTATTACTCTTCTTTACGAGCTTAAATCCGTTTAACTCCAAATGCTGACCGTATATTATATTAATATTATTCTTATCCTACAATGATGATCTGACCAAGTTTTGATCACAAATATTATTACAATATTAATCAATTATATTTTTGATCTAGTAAAATGTCCTGAATATTAAAATGTTTTGGTTTAAGCAAAAATATTTAATATTGTGTACCCGATTTTCAAACGAGAACTTATCGTATTCCGTGAAATTATCATACTACAGTAATTTCATGTAAGCTCCATGATATCATAAATATAATGAAATAATGCTCACTATATACAATATGCATATAATAAAGGCAATAATAAAAAAAAGATTTTAAATATCAACAAAACATAGTGTTTTCGTTTTTTTTTTTTTTAAATAGTGCATATTTTTAAATAATACAATTTAACTAAGCACATACGCAGTGGCACAAGGATTAAAATTAGATCAGAAGAAAATAAATTATAAAATATAAAAAATCAATATACTGGATACCTGCGTATTTTATTACAAACACTGAAATATACGCACAGATTACCTACCTACATATCAAATGTGTAAATGTATGGCTCTAAAGTTTTGGTGTTCGACTTACAAGATATGCGATCAACAAAATTATCGCTTGATGAGGAAAGCGTTTTAGGAATTGTTAGAATTATGCTGTTCATATCACATTTTAATACGCAACGTAAACCTATATGAAGATAATTTTTACAAAATTAACAATCAATAAAGGTATTTTAAGCATTTTGTTTAATCCACAAAAAATTAAATAAACTTTTACGAAAAATGTCAAGTGGCTATATACATACATTATATTATATATCATTCCATTGTAAAAAAATACAAATTTTCTGTAAAAATAGAAACAAATAAATCCATGACTTGAGTAATTCATGCTTGTGGTAATATAAAAATATTGGTATTTTATTTATTTGTTACATCATATTACTTTATACCTTGTATTATACGTGTATTATACAATTGTACAGTTAACTTTTGATTATATAATGGACTATTAACATTTTATAGAGTACCTTTATATATTATATAAGATCTTTGAAATTAATTAATTTTAATAATTATTAATCACAAAAAATAGACATTCTTGCACAAATGTAAAATTAATAATATTTAACAATGATTAAAATAAAAAAATTATCGAGACTTTGGTGTTTAGTCAATAATTAGATATTTTCAAATCAACAAAAAATTATAAATTAACAACTATGATTATAATTTACTAAATTTAAAATAATTATTATAATTTACCAAATTGAAAATAATTATCAAAAAATTAGAACCAATAATTATAACTATATAATAAATAATAATAATTTTTTGTTTTATGTTAAAAAAAATATTTATGTATACACATAACATATTCAATAAATTCATTTAAAATAAGATTATCAGATTCCTTTATACAATTGCTTATACATTTTTGTGAGTTCCGTTTATAAATAAAATATATATATATATATAAAATTATTTTATAAAACAATATTCTATACAGCATGTACAGTATCATGCGATATGTGTTAAACACATTTGAATTACTAATGGTGAACATTTACATAATGTAGTAATCGGTGGTCGTGACACACGAATCATATTTTACGGTATCATCGATTGAAGAGATTACCTACAGACCATCAAAATCAATAAGTCGTAAGTACTAAATTATGTGCTATTGGAAATACTACCATGGTTTTGGATGACATTGAAAAATATATTCAAGTTTCAATTAAATCGAATTGCACGCAAATTATCTCCTCTGACAACGCCTCAATCATTATAAGAATTTATTAAATTAATTAAGTTAGTAATCTAACTATTTTAGAATTTTAACTTACAGATACGAAACGCTTTGTCCCGTAAATGCAGAAAGTAAAATTATTTTTCTAATTACTGTAAATATAATATTACAATTACGTCACAATAGTTCTATTAAAGTTGCTGATAATACATTTTACGCACGCACAAAAAATACTCAGCTCACTTTTTTTCATTAAATTTTAACCACGGTTATCATCTCAAAATAAAAAATTAAGAACCTAAACGTCATATGCACAACAATTGATAGCGACCGAGAAAAAAAATTAAGTAATAAACAAAAATTATGGTTTTTATCCGAATGTAGAAGCCAAAATACCCTATGTACACCAAATTTATTTTAATTAATTTCTTTGTTCACTTTCATATTATATTCTAGTTGTCGACAACTTTAATTAATTATAAATTGTTGATTAATTATTTTAATTTTTTAAACAATTTCGCCATTTATATTAAAAAATGCTCGATCAACTGATTTTTAAGTATAGTGATTACTATACTTAAAAAAAAATTTTCAAACATGCATAAGTATCATTATTTACGCAATACAATAGATTCTTATTATACTAAGCATTAATATTTCAAATTTTTCGTTAAATTTAAATTCTCTTAGAATTAAACTTATAATAAAAGCTCATCATCTCAGATTTTTAGATAATTTCGACTTTTTCCTACTCCTTTTCTAAGCAACGCAATAAATAAAATTAATATTATTTTTTTTTAAGAGAATTATTTTATAATGTTTGAGATAATAAGACTATATTATACAGTTATTTTTGTGTTTACCGTATGGTAATTAACTTTTTTAACTACAGAAGTGGTAATAAATATGTTGATGAGGATTTTTCTCTTAAGCCATTTATGATATTTATTGATTATTATTTATCCGTTTTATTTTGGTGAACCGTTCTTTAAACGGAAACTTCGTGTTATTACTTATTTTTATTAAATGTTTGACATCGACTCGATGCGATGTGATGCATTACTCAAAAACTCCAATGATGTCGAAAAACAATGAAAATCATTAAACGTTTTACACGGCGTTTGATTTCGAAAAAGTAACTTTTTAAATTATTTATAAAACCTTATTTGCAACATAATATTATAACCCGTACCGACATTTAAATGTCACATGTTTACAACACACGTGTGACCGACTAAGTATCGCAGTCCTATATATTGTAAATCGGGGCAGAAACGTAATTCAAAAGTAAATTTACATATATTGAGTTGGCAATAACCATACATTAATTTATAGTGACATAAAAATGTAGGTATATGAAAAAAAAACATTCAGTTACCAATATAATAATAATATTGTTGTGTAAAAAAATCGCAATCGTCGGTGTCTATTTTAAGATAGTGTTCTATGCATTTAGACTTTCCAATAATCCACACCGACACCTTGTCAAAATCCAAATTATAACTAGTCTGTATAATACACACATGCGTGAGTTATTTTAAAATGATTCAACCGTTTACCTATACTTGTATAGTTGAATTACGTGATTCGAGGACGACGACAACCACGGATACGATAATAATAATAATAATAATATTCCAGATTTTGTCATTCGCGACGAGCAACTCATATATAATATTTATACACGCGCATAATATTATAGCTCTTCGTTGTCGTGTAATATATATGTAATATTATTATATAGAATATGTGACACAATAAACCAGTACAAGCTCGACTGACTGGATTCATCAATTTGTATAAAAATAACGCGGTGGGGACGATGGTACGCATATCTGCAGACTTGTATATATAGTCCATCGACCGTGTCCAACAGTCATCATTCAACGGGATCGCATCCAATAATCAACACTAAACATGAAATTCGTAAGTACAACGCTTGAAATTCACAATGACGAGCGCGTCTGTTAACTTATAATACTATACTTTAATAATTTAGAGTTTGATTTTAAACATTAACGACTTGTGCGGTTTACAGGCAACAGCTCTAGTCAGTTTGGCAGTCGTAGCCCTCGTCCAGGCCGATGCGTCCAGTGACGAAAAGAAAACGACGAAACACGAAAAGAGAAGTTTGGGTGGCTATGGATTAGGACTTTCCGGTCTCGGCTACAGCTCTGGCCTTAGCTACGGATCTGGTTTGGGCTACGGCTCTGGCCTCAGCTACGGATCTGGTTTGGGCTACAGCTCCGGTTTGAAATACCGTTCCGGACTGGGCTATAGCTCCGGTCTCGGCTACGGCTCTGGTCTGAGCTACGGTTCCGGTTTAGGATACGGTTCCGGTCTGGGCTACAGTTCCGGCCTGAGCTACGGTTCTGGTCTGGGCTACGGTTCCAGTCTAGGATACTCCGCTGCCGCTGCTGCTCCCTTACCAACAACCGGCCCCATTGTCCCGATCTCTAAAGAAGTGCACATCATCAACCGACACGCACAACCCGTGTCCGCTCCATACCCAGTGCCAGTAACCCATGACGTAGCCGTCCCCGTACCACATCCAGTGCCCTATGCAGTCGACAAACCATACCCAGTCCATGTGCCCGCACCATATCCAGTTCCAGTCGAGAGGCCAGTCCCTTACGCAGTCGACAGGCCTGTTCCTCATCCAGTGCCATCGCCTTACCCAGTCCCGGTAGTCCGTGATGTTCCAGTTCCTGTGTCCAAACCATACGCAGTTCCAGTAGTTAAACGCATTCCTGTACCAGTATCTACTCCAGTTGTGGTGCCCGCCGTCCAACCAGTCGCACCATTAGTCGCTTCCAGTTACAGCGCTGGAATTGCATCGCCCGCAATTGGCTACAGCGCCGGAATTGCATCGCCCGCAATTGGTTACAGCTCCGGTTATGGAATCGGCCACGCCAGCTCATCAATCGGTTACGGACTTGGATCTTCTGCCATCGGTTACGGTGCATCTTCATACGGTGCTGGTAGCTTGTACGGTAGTTCTTTGGGATACAGTAGCCTAAGTGCATCTTCATATGGACATGGTGCCCACGGTTTGGATTACAAGAAATAAAACTCTCGAATAATTCGCCTACGTTGCACTGACGACGAATATACTTAGATTAATCTTTTACTGTGTATATTGTGTATACACGTATTATGTTTTTAGATAATTATTTCAATTTTGTTTTTATAGTTTCAATTTTGTTAATAACCAATAGTTATTGACTGACATTAAATATATAATAAATGTTTTTAATACATTACATACTCGTATATGTGTTCATATTTTCAAAAAAAAACTTTCTAATCACAATACATTTAGGACAAATCAAAAAAATATATAGTCACCTAGTTCCAGAAGAAAACATGCAATTATTTATTCAAAATACACAGCTTCTACACAACTTTAACTAATAAAATTTAAAAAATCGTGTATCAAAGAATATTTGGAATGTATTTCTAATAATATTATGTTAACTATAATAATACAAATAATATTGTATTGACCCTACCAATAAATTGTAAAAACATGATAAAATCAAATTTTGATATTTTAAAAGTAAAAAATAAAAATTCAATAAAATCAATAAATTAAATATAACATCATCGTATGAAATAAAAAAAAAAAAAATGTTTTTAAAATTATCCAAATGTATGGTTATAGTGATCTAATAATATTACATGATTCTTATAATAATATGATTCATAATATTCTATATTAATATATATGTCTCAACTTATAATTTATTTTAACAATTAAATTATTAATTACACTTGCAATGTTTGCATATATTATATCGTGTATATTTTTATTTTTATTTCAAATATATGAAATAAATAACTTCAACAACGTCTTAACTAAAAATTAGATAAAACATAAGACATTATCATATGAGCACAGACTTGTAATTAAATTATAAATATAATAAATATACGTTATTATCATAATTATGATACATATAGAAGATTATTTCAAGTACGAAAATACGTTTATTATAAATGTGTTTAAAGCATTAAACATCTTATATAAAACATAAATCGTTTTAAAAACTGATATTTTTTTAAGCGACTTTTATATCGTACAGAAGTATTCTCACCAATATGAATTACTAAATAACACTGAAAATAATACCGATTAACATAAGCCGTATAATTTACATGCAAAATATATTCTTATAAAAATAAATCAGGTATATAGTTTATTATGTGTAAGTAATAAACATAATACAATTATTAATTTTTATAATTTACCAAATATTATAAATGCCATTTGTAACTTTAGTAGGTCACTGAACTATCCTTTAAACCACAAATTTTGTGTCACTCTATTAATACTAAAGAGCTTTTATTTTTTTATTATAATATCTTATTTCTTCGTATAGATTGTTTTCTAGTTCGGTTTCCTGAAATAAAACCATCAACTAATATTATTTTTAAGATTTAATTTTTTAAAAAAAAAACTCTGTTAATTCTACTATTTAAACAAGCAGTATTACTATTAAAACTTTATTATGA